TAGTTACCATGCATTTTTTAGTTACCAGAAGCAACTCGTCTCATTTCTTTGAATTGAGAACTTGCTTGCTGTGTAATATGTTATCTATTTATATGTGTTTTCAATAAAACGTATAATAATTTTTGAATGTGATAACAATAATATAATAATAATATTATAACAAATAAACCCAACAATTATCCTACTCCTGATATTTTGCAGTCGTCTCTTTCTCTCGAAACTTAGTTTTTCGAAGGTTTCACTTCTAACACGTGTGATCTGCCCACATGATATTTTTGTTTTTTTATCGTGAATTTATATATCTACCAATGTATTTTTCATCTTCCATTAATCTACGGAAATCTTGCAGTACACCCTTTCTAATGGGTCTGAAAAAAATAGTTTTATTATTTTATTATTTTTATTATTATTATTATTGTATTTTTCATTATTGGGTGATTTCGTTCGTTAATAGTAAGAATTTTTACATTATTGTTAACATTAAATTTTAAACAAGGATTTTTATTCAACTTTCGTATTTCGTAATGGTGTAAAATGTACGATTAACAAATATATGAATAAACGAACACATAAAATAATAATCTCGAATGTATTTCCCTTTTTTTTTTTTTTTTATTTTCGTATAGATTTTCGATTATTTTTTATCATTAAATCGAAATGTTCGATAAATAATTCATTATATAAAACGTAACGATATACGCGTGATAACTTGTAAAATAAATAAATTGGATGAAATCTGGCACGAGAGTTAAAATAACAATAAAAAAAAATAAAAAGAACAAAAATTATGATTAAAACAAACATCGTAAAAATCAACGAGAATTATCAAACTTATTAGTAAATTTCAAACGTTTATTCGAATAATACTCTTATCATTTTCACATTTCCGTTTTTTAATGGTTAATAATTATTATTCAGCAGTGTTTTTTTTTTTCACTTTTTTCCTTTTACATTTGGTTCAATTAAAAAAAAAATTTTTTTTAAACTGAAATATCGGAGATTTAACATCGACGTAATGATTCTAAATTAATTTAATTATTAACAGAATATAAAAAACATCCGCAGGAAACCCTCTACTAGTCCCCCCCCCGCCGCCGCTCCCCATCCTCAAAATGTCGAAAAATGTTCTCTATCGAGAGTAAAAACATTTACAACGCACAAATAAAATTCGCATTTTGTTCGGAAATTATTTGAAAATCAAATATTACGAACTACCACCACACACATCGGTGGTTTTTATTTCAAAAATAAATATATACAAAATAACTATTAAGAACTGTGAGAGAATTTCTAGATTTAACAGTTGTTTAATAAATGTATGTATTTATGTACATACATATATACACATACATACAGAATTTCAAACGTTTTTTCATACAAACGTTGCGAGTAAAAATTCTAAGCTCGAAAAATAATATTTAAAAAAATGTGATTTTATTAACATAAGTCATTTAAAGCTTAATTACAAAATAATATTATAAATATTATAATAAATGTTTTACTCGAAAATAATTTTTAGTGGTTCTGCATATGTTGTTTAATAATTGAACGATAACGTGAACACCTAGAAACACTTAACATCACATTGCTAAATTTTTATTTATAAAAAAAAAAAAAATAAAACTAAAAGTTTATGTAAGTGAAATAGTTACATTTGATATTAGTGTAAAACAAATTAAGAATGCAATTGTAAAAATTAATAGAAATCAACCAGAAATCTGTCATATCATAAACACCATATTAAAACTATGTTGAATTTATATTCGTGTAAGTGGGTAACACTTTGAATAGTAAATTTAAAACATTTTTACGATTTATGTTATAATTTTTGAATAAAGCTATAAATAATCGTAAGCTTACAACGTTTGTAGGAAAATAACATCTGACATGCTCTATATATATTTTATTATTATTATTATTATTATTTCGGTAAAACGTGAACTAAAGTCCAGTTGAACAGATGAATTAATAAATTTACATATAAAAAAAAAAAAAAAATAAAAATATAAAAATTGTATTCTAACTTACCTTCAAATTCTTTTGCAAATTTTGTACTCTACAGTGCATGTATACTTGTGCACCTAACTGCACTGTAATATTACTTTCTGGATCTTCAAAAAACGGCCTTGGTTCGGGCGTTGCACCGGTCTCGGTGGCAAAAATGTCCTCTTCGTACTCCTGTAAATTAAATCGTATGTAATAACTGAACACACACAACACAAATACATATATTGAATATACAGTCTTATATATATATGTATATACATATGGTGTACTAAATTTAAACAATTAAAATTCACCAATATATTTTACGAATACAAATTAATAAAAATAAAAAAAAAATAAAAAAAAGCAAATGAAAAAATTTAATTTTACCGTAAAAATAAAAATTATTAAACGTAATTTAATTTTTATATTAATAATTTGAAAAAGGAAATATTCGCTATTTAAATAATTCTCTTTGAATATTATCCATCTCTCGTTTCCTTTTTCTTGTTCTCTTTTTTCATTTCATTTTTGAAACAAAAATTCGACTAGGGCAGAACAAATAAATCGATTTTTCTCTTTCTCACTTGGAAACGGGGTCAATAAAATGAATCACCCGTGATGTCAGCTCGTTAAAAACTATTCCGGGTTTCTCTATTTACGTTCTCGTTTGAAGTGAAAATGTCGAAAGGAAAAGGGGGGAAAAAAGAAAAAAAAAGATGGTCTCACTTAATTTAATCATTTATGTATACCAAACACGTTTGCATAATAGTCGTTCGATAAGCAATCCATATTTCCTTTTCCTTTTTTCTTTTTTTTTTTTTCTCCATTTTTTGCTTATCGAAACCGTATTACGACGATAAGAATAACATTTTCATTTGGAGCTCGTATTTATGGTTTTAAAATGAAACTTTTATGAAAGAATTTTCTTTTTTTTTTTTTTTTTTTTTTGTTTCTTCTCTCATTTCCCTATAATTCTGATATTTAAATATACGAATAATCGTGCAAAAAAAAGAGGTAATCTTTAATACAAGAGAAGAAGAATAAGAAGAAGAATAAACGATGGGGGATTAAAAAAGGATCTTTCCCCTTTTGCGAAAGGCATACTTTGAATTTTCAATCCTTTCGATATTCGTAAATCGATCTAACAGCTGTGGTTTTCGAATCCGTACGAATGAATTTCAGGTCGTCGAACTTTCAACTCTATGCTGAATTACATTTACAATATATATTTTCAATAAATTCGAAATCGGTAGGACAAATTTATCATTATGCATTTATCTTATTATTTGCATTGCATTATCGACGAATCCAACCACGAACGAATTTCAAATTTGGTCCTTTATTAGGCTTGACGTATAAAAGCTTGTTCGTGGTTGGTTCGAACTAAAATATCGTCAGGAACGTTGGATGGGGATTTAATTCTACGATGAGTGTTACAAAAATAAATTAAAAAATCGTAACATTTAAAATTTAAAGGACTGGTATAATATAGAATAAAACATAAAAAATAAAAAAAATAATAAGATACAAAATGAAAGGTTGTACGTTGTTAAAAAATGTTCATGCGAGAATATTGTTTTATAGCGTTCTTTGTACAATTATTTTTTTTTTCTTTTTTTTTTTTTAAGAAAAAAAATAGAAACAAAAATATGCAAATGTTTGCAATTAAAAATAGAAAAAAAACGACGAGGAGAGAGTAATGGTTTATGTAATAAATAAAAAATACAATTAGAGAAAAGGGTTTTAAGAAAAGAATAAGAACAAGATGTAAAATGAAAGCTTGAGAAAAGATTTTTATGCGAGAATGTTTTACTATAGTACTTTTATGTTCTAATAAAAAAGAAAAATAAAAATAAAAATTTCGAATTACATATAATAAAATAAACGTCAAAGTGGAACGTTTTTATAAAATAAATAAAAAAAGTAAGAAGAAGAAGAAGAAGAATGAGATGAAAAATGAAAGCTTGCTTTAGTATAAAGATTTTCATGAAAGATAGTTATTTGATAACACTTTGACGTGTTTCTTTTTGGTCATGATAACTACGAAGCGAAAGATAGATTATATCGGATGAAGGAAAAAACTTTACGACATACACTGGTAAATGTAAAAGCGTGATGGAGAAACGAGGAAAACGAGCAAAAATGAATGGTGCCGAAGTGGGAAAGTGGTGGAAGGTGGAAAGGAGAGAGTACGTTGGATGTTACAGGCGATATACTGAAACGCATCGCGGTCACGTGGACGTCATGTCGTAAAAAAAAAAAAAAAAGGATCTTCTAAAACGTCAAAAATAACGGGGAAACTGACATGAAGTTTTACGAAGGTAGATTAAAACCTTTCGAGTTTAATCAATTCGAGTAGTACGTACAAATTGCAACTAGTTTTTCTTTTCTCACGACTATAACGTCGTGACCTTTCAAGAATTTCTAGACAAATAATAGATTAGATTAAAAAAAAAATATCATTCGATGAACTTAAAAACGATAAAAAGAAAAGTTTAGACAAATGAAATAAATTAGAGAGAAAAAAAAATAATAACAATAAATTCTAACTTATATTTTTTTTACTATGAAACTTTGTTAAAGCTTAAAACCTGTCACGCGTCTTTCATTTCAATTCTTAAAAATAAAGTAAAGAAAAAAAACTTAAAATTGTAATTAATTTTTGATATAAAAAAAAAAAAAAGAAGTAAACAAAATACAAAAGGGCAAGAATTGAATTGACGACAGTAACATTTTAGTAAAATAATTCCAAATGGTTTTGATTCCAAAATGGAATCAAAAATGTGATAATAAAACCGAGTTAAAAGTAACAAAAAAATATTTGAAATACAATATTGTATAAAATAGTTGAAAACGTGTATGCGTAGATGCATGAACGTACTATACACATACAAACATATAAATACACAGAAAGAATGCATGCATCTCTACGCAAAATGGATACTCGAAATGAAGTTGGTAGAACAAAACGAGAAGTGAAACGCATTCCGAAATGACGTCAACGCTCCTTCGAAAACCACAGACGCGTATAGAAACGTTGCTCTTTGAAAGGTCGAAAACGAGAGAAACGAATTTAGATCGGCATCCCGATTCCGAAAGGCAACTTCACGTTCCAAGTTTAACCGTGCGCAAAACTTACCTCGGTAAAGGGTGAACTGAGCTCACGCCAGAACGACCTCGGCAGGTTTTCCAGTCCGGGAACTGGCTTCACGCCTGCAATCGTTTAAAATGACTTTGTATACTTCTTAATGGGACACATATACTACATACATCTACTACAACATAAATATATATATATATAGGTAAATAAGTAAGTAAGTATATAGGTAAATCGATTGTATATACAACGATCAAAATCTATCACGAACAACATTTCATTTTATGGAAAATGAATTTTATCTTTTTTTTTTTTTGTCTTTTTCTATCTCTTCCTCATTTTATCTTGTTCTCTTTCAACCTGACTTTCGTTATTTGTCGTTTTCAATCGATTCGATTCGTTTTATATTTATTTTTAATCTTTTTTCATTTAAATACCATTTCTATTTTCAATCAAAGAAAATAATATTCCCTTTTTCAATATATACATTCAAATAACTGAACTACTTTTTTACCTTTTTTTATACTCTTTATAGAAAGTATCAATTGCATCGAATGTTGCTCAAATTTTTTTTTTTTATAAAACTAATAATTGTGTGCAAGTTAAATATCAGTATAATCAATAGATTATAATAATGAAAGGTGTCGTAATATTTTACGATTAACAATCAAATTTATTGACAAAAGTAATTTTTACAAAAAAAAAACATTGTTTTTTAGTTAAAACTGTGATACTGAGACTTATAATTATTTGTTAAACTAATTATGTTAATAGTTTTAACGTGGGTTCAAAACAATAAATCGGTTTTTGTCGTGTTTCATTATCACAAATGAGACGTTTGAAAGCCAATTCGAAATATGAAGAAACTCGTAATCTACTTAAACCAATTGTTAACTTTGTAATTGACGAAGTTATTTGATAACCAGAATTGCTAATAATTTCGACTCTCGACATTTGAAATTAAGCGAATAAAACGAATCAACTTTATTAAATACAAGTGTAATACTAAGTATCAACAAGCGAATGAACTTCATCAAGTATGAGTAATAAAACGAGACCAATAATAACAATAATAATAAATGGATAGGAATATGATCCAAAGTAATTAACAAGAAGCATGATTTCCTTATCTATGAAACACTATGAATTCAACCTTGATCAAAATATATTATTTCACAATTAAACAAAATTCTGTCTAATATCATTCAATAATTTATCGATTGATTAATAGTTGTCCCTAATTTTACAAAATTTATTTTCAACTATTAACTAAATTTATTCATTTCTTAACTAATCAATGAAATTATGAAGAAGAAAAAAAATAAATATTCGATTAAAGCGATACATCGAATAATAGTAAACAATGAATTGGTCTTAAGACTAAATGCGTTGTTTCATTTCGTGATCCCCTTTAGGCAACATGCAGTTTGAATAGCGAACGTGGTAGCCCTGTTAATTCGATTCTCTTCACGTGTTTCACAATCGAGAGCTTTTCGCATCTCGCTTTTACCATGGAGACGTCGAGTACGCGTTTGGTCCCACAACCAAGCATCAATTCCTTGTTATGCGTCATACGTTCCTATAGCAACTCACACACAGGATAGAACAGTTGTACTAATTACGGATAATAACGGTTTGGGATAAGCATTGATTTCCTGTTAACGATGTGATATCTCTCAATGATTTCTATTTCATTTTTTTTTTATTTATTTATTTCTGTTGTGTTTTCCTTATTATTATTTGATTAAAATATCATTTCATAGTTTTACTCAATATTCTTGTAAAAAAGAAAAAAAATACTATATTATTTAAGTAATTTATATTGTAATACAATATAATATATATATTGTAATGTATATTACTGTTTTTTGTTAAATATATTTTTTATTAAATAATACATATTGTATAATATATAATTGTATAAAAATAACATAGATTGTATAATATATATTAGGGTGGGTCAAAAAAATGACTTATTTTTTTTTTTTTTCAAGTGCCACGGAAAAATGAATTGCTAGACACCTTAAAACAATTCTCACCAAATATGAGCTCTTAATTTTAATAGAAAGATCCTCCGCATCGCAGTTTTTTTATTTTTTTTTCAGTCTAATAGATTAAAATTCATACCTCATTATTTATTGATTGTACAGAAAAATGTTTTAGACGAATTTTGTAAGAAATTTAATGCTCTACAAAAAAGGTATCTTATATTTTTTTTCGTAAACCTCACCATTTGAATGATATTGAAGATTTAAATTTGATGATTTTTAGACAAATTTCATGTTTGTTTATGAATTTTATAACTCGCCAATAAATGTCTATTAAAAAGTGCACAATACAAATTTTTGCAGGAAATTAACTGCTCTATAAAAATGGTGTCTTATGTTTTGGCGATTAAATTAAGCGTTCAAAAGATATTCATCATCATACTTTCATGTGTACTGATTTTTGTCTCTGACAACTGCGATACGCAGAATCTTCCTATTAAAATTAAGAGCTCATATTTGCTGAGAATTGTTTTAAGGTGTCTAGCAACTCATTTTTCCGTGGCACTTGAAAAAAAAAAAAAAATAAGTCATTTTTTTGACCCACCTTAATATACATATATATATAATTTATAATTATTATTATGTAGAAAGATTAATTTTACAATAAAATATAAATGAGTAAACAAATTCAATAAATTCAATACCACCAATATCAGAAATTTAATTAAAACACGAATAAGTATTTTGTTCATTTCTATTATCGATAAACGTATAAATGTAAACAAAACAAAAAAATAATAACAATACAATGATAATTTCAACGTTTAAAAATCAAATCATTATAATAAGATCGTAATAAATCAAATCGAATCTTTCGTTTCTTTTTTTGTCTTTTCAACAAGATGTGCATATTTGGAAACGTTTAAAATACATTTTACATGCCTTAGATACCACACACACACACAAACACATTGTGAAAAAGAATAGGAATGATCCAAGAAGAAGAAGAAGGAAAAGAAAAAAAAAGAAAGAAAAGGAAGTAATAAAGTCACTTTTTCGTGAGGAGTTCTTTGATTCAAATACTAGAAAAAGAAAAAGAAGAAAAAAAAAGTTGAAAAAAAGAAAGAGAGAGAGAGAGAGAGGAAGAGAATGAGAGAGAGCAATTTCATTTCTCTTATAGAGGTAGAATCTTTGGGGGATGGCTTGAAAGAAAGAAAAAGTAGATAGAGAAAATAAAGAAGAAGAAAGATGAAGAAAAAGAAGAAGAAGAACAGCTAGAGAATTTGAAGAATACATACACACAACCATCCACCCATACACACACTCACACACACACTCACACACACACACACACACGAATATACAGAGATAAAGAAAGAAGTGCAATATCTTTCGATCAAATTCGGTGACTCGCGGTTTCTCGCGAGTAAAGATAGTAGATACCCTGTTCTTTCCTTCATTTCCAAAGCTTGCAATCGCTATCAGCTTTTTGGGAGGATCTTCTATGAAAGATAGAAAGAGAGAGAGAGAGAGAAAAAAAAGAAGAAAATGAGATTTACCAACGTCTGAGAATTATTTTTCATCGAATTTAAAACGATCAGCAATTTTATTACTAACGCCAAACCTATTCTTTACTTTTATCTATCTATCTATCTAACTATATATATATATATATATATATATATATATGTGTGTTTTTTTTTTTTATTTTATATATATTTATCTATCCCATTCTTTTTCTTTCTTCTTTCACTCATTCGAAGTCACTTCAGAGATAGGTAGGTCCCCCGGTATTTTCCAAAGAACCGACAGGATAATCTTCGAGAAAATTTATCAACTACAGTGAGAGAGAACCCCCTCTCCCTGCTAAGTTCTTTCCTAGCAGGACCAATCTCACGAACTGAATTTTCTACCGTTAGCAAAGAGAGAGAAAGAACCAACCACTCACACGAAAGAAAAAGGATAGAAACCGAACGGACTTCAAATATCCGTTTGAAAAGACGAAGCAAGCACATAATCTCAAAACCATGAAGGATAAATCCGGTGTTACCCGGTTAGGATCTCGAAATACGTCTTTATAAAACTATCCATGATATATTTATTATGTTTTGAAAGGTGTCAACCGTTTCAATTTCATTTGAAAAACTAATAATGTTTCAATATTTTTTTTATTATTATTATTTTGTTTTTTGCGTTTGCTATTAATTTACTTCCTTTTTTTATATTAAATTATTGTAATTAAATTAATAATTTGTAATTTAAAGAGTTATTATATATATATACTATTTTCAAGGAAAAAAAAAGAAAAATGTTTGTTTGAATTAATTAACAATTATTGACACAATACTTTTGTTATTCGTACCAAATTTGTAAGTTAAACGAATTGAATAAAATAAAACACATTTGTAGAGATTTGTTTATTTGGAAATAAAAAGATAAAAAATACAAATAATACAAAAAAAAAAATATTTTTAAAAATAAAACAAAAACAAAATACAGAAGATAAAAACGCGTTAACGAAACTTCAAAATTGATTGGTATCCTTTCAATACGAAATTTAGTCGATCGATTGGATATTTTTCTATACTAAACAAAAATCAATAAATAAATAAATTAGAGATATTTGTTTTTGACGAGATGCAATCGTATTAATTTTGGTTTTTTTTTTTTCCTTCTACTTTGGAAAATGGGAAAATAGAATTTTACGTCGTCTAAAAAGGATCCGTTTAATCGATATTCATCGTCAAGCTTTCCTTCCTTCTTTCACTATCATTTTCTTTCCTTTTATTTCTCTCTTTTTCTCTCTCAGTAGTCTCGATTTCATCGTTTCCCCTTTCGTAATGTGTAAGGACCGTCTGGAGTCTAAAAGTACGATTGGACCCCACCGCACACGACTTGTCGCACGACATTGAATTTATGGTTTCTGTCGAAGGTCCTAAAATTTATGGGAATCCAATGCCTTAATTGGAAAATTATAGGACAATGTCTGCAGCCACGAGCGAAAGGCATTCAGTATCTGTGGCTCATTATTCAGCACCTATAATCTTCTTTC